TGTAAGTCTCCTTATCTTCATTTCTCAAAAATCTCTTGGCCATATGGTGCATTTTTGGAGTGTAGTCTTGTCAGACAAATAGAGCTCAGCAGGCTTTAACTTTTTCCAGGTCTTGGAAATTTCTGAGAGCAAGAAAGTAATGATGATATAATACCACACATGTAAAGTGCATATGAAAACTATGACTAGTAAACTGACATTGATCACAAAGCCGAAGTACATTGAAAAGAAGTTTGTGTGAATCGACACAGGCAGGTGCCCAGAAGAACGACCACAAAACCACAGCTGAAATGCAAAGAATAAATTTATTTAATTACCTGGCTAACTGGAGGATCCTGAAGAAACATCCAGTTAGAGACACACAAGTGGGAATGCAGCCACCATTAGGCTCAGTCCATTCTGACAGGTGGCAAGCCTGCTGTTTGCACCAATTTATCAAGGGCCCATGCATGTGCTTTTTATTATCTCTGAGAATTGATCTCTCTCCTAAAACAGGGAGCTCAAGAATGTCCATGACAGTGCCTCCAAGTCTCTCCAAATACCCATGTTATTACTACAGAGAGGATAAACAGCAGTAGGCATAATATTTGGGGTTTGCCACACTTATTGTCCAGGCCTTGACATTCCCAGCTGCAAGGTGACTTGAGAGAATCTACCATCTCCTCACCATTCTTCCACTTTTAACCCTTTCCTCCCAACAAGGTGCTGAACTTCAAGAAACTAGAAGATAGCTCACTGGCCTCTGACAGCAGGCTTGTGTGGGGAGGCTACGAAACTTTCTAGAGATCAATTAAGCAATATAGACTATGATTCAGCAGTGCTATATATTGGTTACTGGGTTATTGGGAGACTGGATGTTATAATTTATGCCTTAAGCATCTTCATGAAGGACCTATGCCTATTATAACAAAACTGTACAAAAGCTGCAGAGAAGACTACCACACCCTGAATCGGCCTTCTGACTGAGGCCCTGGACTGCTCCCTGATAGAAATAATATAAAGTAAATTCAGGTATGAGGAGAGAAGAAATACATTCACAGAGGGATCAAGCTTAGCACCTTTGGGGTGGAGACCATAGCCTCAGGGCTATCAGCTGCCAGACTCAACAGACCCTCACACCAAAAGGTGGGGGGGGGGGGGCGGGGAAGAGAGGCTTTGGGTTTGTGGTGAAAAAGCTTCTGGTCAGAGGCAGGGAAAGCCCATCCTCCACTGTGCAGAGGAGCCCAGCTGCAGGGGCTCCTTCACCCTGGGAAAAGCTTATCCACAGCAGAGGAGTGTCATGTCCCATCAAAGGCCCTCCCCCCAAAAGGGTCCCCAGACCCTGCACCAAATCACTGCAACATGATGCAACAGATTCACAGTGTTGCAAGGGACAGTGTCAAACTGGCCCCCTGCAAGGGAGAGACCTGGGCATTCCCACCTGGCCCAAACATCTAGTAATTCACTGGATTCTATACTTTTTGGCGTGTCATGGTGTGGCATAGCACGGCAGCAGAGGACCTTCACCACTAAGAAGACCAGATGGAGGGAAGCCATGAGATGTCATTGGGACTCCTTGGATGGGTGATGTTTCTACCTAACCCATGTAACCCTCTCCCTGTCCCCCTACCCCCCCACACACACTTCTTTTTCTATTTCCTTCTTTCTTTCTTTTCTCTTTCTTTCTCTTTGCCTCTTTTACTATTAAATAACATATATCAATTTTTTGGCACCAACATCTAACCTCGTTTGGTTTTAATCTTTTTTTTTGTGTATATTTCAAACCTTTCTGAGTCTGATCCGTTTTATTCACAGAAGCTTAGTTTCCTTTGCTCTTCTGTGTTAAACCAGTTTGTAACATGGGTTTGCATGTCAAGGTTTTGGTAGTGGGGGAGCTATGGGATGGCTTCTCCAAGAAACTGTCAGAAGCCTTTTCTATGTCCAGTGAAGCCAACACCAGCTGGCTCCAAGATGAACCAAGTCCAAGACCATCAGTGGCAGTAATAACACCTCTGTGATAGCATATATAAGAAGGGGGGGGGGAAAGTTATTGCAGCCAGAAAGGAGTGAAAATATGTGAGAGAAGCAATTATGCAGGCACCAAGGTTAGTGAAGGAGGTGCTCTAGCCACCAGAGCAGAGATTGCCCTGCAGCATATGATGTAGATCATGGTGAAGCAGCTGTCCCCCTGCAGCCCATGGTTGAGTGGAGCAGATATCCACATGCATCCTTTGGACAACCCCACACCAGAGCAGGTGGATGTGCCCTGAAGTAGGCTGTGACCCCATGGGGAGACAGTGCTGGAGCAGGCCCCAGGTAGAATCCGTACACCCGTGGAGGGAGATGCCCACGCTGGAGCAGGGGAAGGAGTCCTCACCCTGAGGAGGGAGTGGCAGAAACAACCATTCCCCATCCCCTTGTGCCACCGGTGAGAAGGAGGTAGAAAATCGGGCATAAAGTTAAAACCCAGGAAGAAGGGAGGGGTGGGGGGAAGGTGTTTTTTTAAGAATTGGGTTTACTTCTCATTATCCTACCCTGATTTGATTTGTAATAAATTCAATTAATTTTCCCAAGTCAGGTCTGTTTTGCCTGTGACGGTAATTGGTGAGTGATCTCTCCCTGTCCTTATCTCAACCCACAAGCCTTTCATTATATTTTCACTTCCCTGTCCTCTTGAGGAGAGGAGTGATAGAGTGGCTTAGATGGACACTTGGCGTCCAGATAAGGTCAAACCACTTCATGATACTAATTATAGAATCTGTCTACCACCCATCCCTAGCTGATTTTGTCATCAATCCTAATTTGCAGTAGGGATAAGATTCTGATTAGACATAGACTGATGAGCCAAGTAATTTCCAAAATGTCCAAAAAGAAAAAGCCTAGATATACCATGCACACAATAGTCCTAGAAGCTGAAGTTGGGATTTGAATAGAATATCCCAAATCTGCAGCTGTATGATTCAGCATTCTGGATGCAAAAAAATCTGGACCTACATTATAATGTAGTATAATGTATTATATATCAAATCAGGTTTGGGTAGAACAGAGGCAATTCTGGAACTAAAATCCAAGATCAAGCCAATTATGTATATCATTAAAAGCATGGAAGTAACTACTGGAAGTATGACTGAACTGGAGCTATTTCTGCAGGCTTAGGAGTGCAATGCCACTAGACACAGGACTTATCAGACAGCAGACAGAGCACACCCAGTGGCATCTGCCAAATGAGTGGAAAAATCTAGAAGTTTTGTCTTTGCTCCCTCCTTTTTTGATGGACAATGGGTTGGAGGATTTCCCCCTTAGTAAAGTGACATCCTAAGTGTAATTACTGGAAATGCAGCCCACCATACCATTCCCCTCTTCATGATATGTTGAGAAATGACTCTGCATTCCACCAGGTTGCATAGTATCACACCACTGATGTGTTATCAGCAGATGTTTTCTTTGACATGTACTGCAGTTCAGTGCATGAATACACACTTTTCAGTGATGGTACTTAGGAGATGCACCAGAGAAGACAGTGAGGCAGAGCTATCAAGAGCCCTAAGGCTATCTTGAGAATAAAGGTTGAAAGAAGCCATTTTTTCCAGACTACAGCATATTTTTCCATAAGAAATAGATTAGCCAATATCATATTGACCTCACATAGAGCTTCAGACTCCTAGTATACTCATCCAGAACAATGCACCTCAAAATTCGATCAAGGTTTTTTCTTGGCAGGCAAAATTTCAATCAGATTGTCTGACACCAGGAACAGTGAGGTGACTTCTAACCCAAAATGATGAATAAAAAGGCAAAAGCATTCCCTCTGAAGATCTAAAACTGCAGGTGGCAAGAGGTAGACAGAGGCAACAGAGGGAAGAGGCAACAGAGTTATATAGCAGCAACTGTACAATAGAAGAGACTAATAGAAGAGTGTCATGAAGAAACTGAAGAGCATTTTTTCAGAGAAAGATGACATCAAATGTTTTGAGGGCATAAGTATTAAAATGTATAGAGCAAGTGGACAAAAATGTAAATAAATGAAGCCAATATACTTCTGGCACAACCAAAACTTAAGATAGCATTAGCCAAGTGCAGTGCTGAAGAGGCTCTGAATGACAAAGCATCTGACTCAGTAGTTGTCCCTAGAAGACAATGGTAGCAATAAAGATACACAGGCCACAGTGAAGCTGGTTAGCAGTGATGAGAGAGCTTTTTACGACAAACAGTTATGAAAAAATAATTAAGAGAAATTGCCAACTAAAGCAACAATAGTTGAGAAAACAATAGAGACAAATCAAGTCCTAGCTGGACTGCTGAACCACACCTATAAGACAAGGCTGCTACCAAGTCCCCATTCCAAGGTCCCTCTTCTCCTAACAATGACAGGTTTCTGATATTTCTGTTTCCACCAGTCCAGAACAAAAATATGTTACAAAATCATTTATCAATTGAATTTAACAAACTACAGAGTCCAGCAATAATTTTCTTTGCGCTTCATGCCAATATTATGGCAACAGGGCTTTGTTCCCCTCTCCATGTATACTGCAATTTATTGTATCAGAAACCACATGGAGAAGTTATAATATTGTTATTTCACTAGCGATACCTTCCTGTATTGCTGTCTTAAGGACAAATAAACAGTGAGTCATAGCATCCTGTAGCTGGACAATAATGAGGCTGATCACTCAGGTATTAGCCCTATTACCCATATCTTTTTCGGTTTTGAAATATCTACGTGCATATAGAGCCTAGGTCCTGAAAAATTCTCCAGCCAGGAGAAAAGTCTGGTAGCCGAAAGTTAGACACAATAGGCACAACCGCATTCCTGCTCAGGGATCTTTACCACTGAGAAGGAAAACGCCCTGAATCCCGCTGATTTGGTTTCGCGGTGGGGAACCAGGGGTTTGCTGAGGAACCGAGGGAAACGCCAAACGCGCCCTCTCCCCCCGCCCCCGCCCCGGTTCCAGCTCCGATTTTTTTGGAGGCGCGGACGCCCTTTGTCAGCTCCGGGCTGCCATAGGGACCGCAGTGCGTACTGCGCCACGCCCACCCCGCCACTGTCTCCGGGCAGAAGGTCTCGGCGGCGCTAGGTCACTGCCGCAGCCCCTCCACCCCAACAGTGGTGAGGAGGAGGCTTGCCGCCTTTGCCCACGGCTCGCTAGACGCTCCTGGGAATGAACAGTGGGGCGCAGTACACGTTGAGCCGACTGCGGATCTTTGTGCGGGCGGCGGCAGGGAGCCGCCGTCGTCGCCGCCGCCTCCAGACGCCGCACAGGGACCGGCCCTCAGTCGCTGACCGCCGCGGGCGGCTTCCCGGCGCTCGCACCCAACGGAGGGGTTCCGAGTCCGGTAGGACGGGAGGGGTGTGCGCGCAGATGGGATGAAGAGCCCCTCGTGCCATAAAAAGAAGAAACCAGAGACCTAGACTTCGCAGCTTATGTATCTGTGCCCAGCGTGTGTCGTTCCGATCATAAGCAAGGAGCGTCCAGGCCCCCCCACCTCACCGGCCGAACCCGGTCAGCGCCCCCGCTGGTCCCGCGCGGGAGGGGAAGAAAACGGGGAGCGACTGCCTGCCCTCTGAGGGAAAGGTGTCTGCGGGGTGGGGGCTCCGGCGCTGCTTGCGTCGGCACCGCTCCCCGTCGTCTCACCTCGCTCGATGTTGGCGATAGCCCGCCGCAGATGCTCTTCTGTCACCAGCTCGCCAAGGACCACCAGCAGGTAAAATTTACTGTCCAGGAAGCGGTGCGAAAGGCTGGGCGAGAGGGAGGTGGGGTTGGGGATGCTACAGGAGGCTTCTGAATCCATTTCCACCACCACCACGGTGGCCATCGCGGGCGCCTCACTCCTCCGTCCCGCGGCTCCGGGGTGCTAGGGGGAGATAGATCGCTCCGCAGCTGCTGCGCAGGAGGCAGGGAGTGAGGATGGATGGGGAGGCGGCGGCGCTTTTATATGGAGACGGTGTGGGGCAGGGACCTGGCGAGGAGGAGGAGGAGAAGGAGCAGGAAAAGGGGCGGGGGGAGGGAGCCGGCGCATCCCCGCACAGCCACTTCTCCAGCATGCACAGCTGATGTCATCTGTGGCAAATGCTCCCCGCGGCGGCCAACGGAAACAGGAAAAACGCAGGGGGGAGAACAGTTTCCCGAGGGGCCGCCGCAAGGGTGGCCTTGAGGTGCAGCCCGACCTTCCACGTGACCGCTCCGCCTGTGCTCCCCTGGCCGGCGCAGGTCCGTCGTCCCTCATATATACAACCTTCTCCTTTGCCCTCCTGCTGTCTTACCCTGTTTTACCAGACCCTCACTGCTCTTTTGGCCATCTCCTACTCCCCGAGGCTCTCCCAGGATCTCAGCCTTGAAGCATCATGGCCGTGCCATGAGGCTCCAGCTGCAACCCTGATGCTGGATGAAAAAAAGCAGCTCCACTGTGCAAGGCCAATGTGAAAAATGCATACTTTATGATTGGCTTTTCGCAAATATTACAATGAATATTATATGTGTAATGTTAGAAAATTATGCTGTATTAATTCTCTTAAGTAGTGTGTTAAATATCTTCTTGGGTTATAACACAATGTTAAAATAGAAACTATGCTATGTAAGATGCTTTGTAACTAGCTCAAGAAAGAGATGAGATAATCAAGAAATTCTTCGCACAGAGATAACAGCAAAAGGGCCCATTAAGAGTTACTGCCTCCTTATCAGAAAAGACAAACATTCTTCCACCTTCTCTCTGTCTTTATGGAACCACCAGGATTAAGGGAAAGAAGTTGACAAGAACCAGAAAAGTTCTTAATTTGCAAGGAATTTATGCATCATGTATGGGATATATGAATATGCACCAGGCTATTGCTTTTAAGAGTTATTCCTTTGTTCACAAGGCATGTTTTTGGCAGCTTAGTGCCCAAAAACATTCGGACATTCGTAATTCTTTGCTTTTTATTGTCTTGTAATTGTCCTAACTCTAAATTTTATTACTCTAATTATATTACTATTTTTAGAACCATTTTATTATTATTAAACTTTTAAAAATTTAAAAACCAAGTGACTGTTTTTTTTCACAGCCAGGAGTCCAGTCTCCTGCATCTTTCTTGTGGCAATGCAGCAAAATTTTAGCCGTATTTCCCTCCCTCCCTACTGGCAATCTAAATATTCTTGTTACCTTTTTTGTTTTGTTTTAAAGCAGTTCACTTAATAAGATACTGAAAACATAAGTTTTCTGCACGTTCAGGTATAGATATAGATATATGACATGCCAGAAAAGTACTGTTTCTGGACAAGATGCTTATACCCATACTCTGAAGGCTCCAGAAGTTCAAAGGGTTTTGTGTAACTAATTTTGACTGCGCTCAAGCAATTCCAGGGAGAACTGGTATCAGAAAATATCTACAATTACCAAAACAAAAGCTTGATTCCTCTTGATTACCATGTAGAAGTTAGATATCTGCTCCCCAATACTCAGAAACCCATTGAAGAGAAATTCAATCACCTCCTAAAAGTTTTTTATCCTCCTCTAAAATGGGATAGGGCAGTCTGAGATAAATCAGCCTTTCTAAGATGTTCTTCTCACTTTACTGACAGACGCCAGGCACTGGTTTACAGTAAGCATCTTGTTTATATGGATGCCTGAAGATTTTTAGCTTTTTCATATATTTGTAGATTTGTAGATTTTTAATATATAGCTGTATGATTTCTAGCACTTTCTTACACTTTGGAACAGTAGTTACCCTTTCTCACATGTCACACTTGAAATTCTATTTACTCTTATTTCCAAGAAAAGAATTTCTAACAAGGACATCCTGTTTTGCATCAGCATTTGGCGCACATAACAAAATATAGGGCTAAGAACCCCTTGGAGGGATTCCAATGGGGCAGGTCCAAGGGTGGGTTACTAGGACAACTGGTCTCCTATTGGATATACTTGCTAGATATACTAATTGCTTAAATTTATAAAAATTGTGAAAATCCAATGCTGCGGGTAAGCATAGCTATAATTTGTGCATTTGAAAGCTTTCATTAAAGAACTGCTCTTTATGTTACCACTTTTAATATTTTTTAGAAAGTTTGTTTTCTGATTTGACTTCTCAGGAAGTATTTAAGAGGGTTGCTAGGGCACGTAGGAAAAAAATTAGAGGCGCCAAAGCTCAGTTTGAACTTAATTTGGCAACTTTTGTAAAGGATAATAAAAAACGTTTTTGCAAATATATCAGTGGTAAAAGGAAGGGTAAGACCAACCTTTGTTCTCTATTGGATGCAGGAGGGAACTTTGTAACTGCAGATGAGAAGGCGGAAGTGCTTAATGCCTTCTTTGCCTCAGTCTTTAGTGAGAAGATGGGTTGTCCTCAGGACAACTGTCCTCCTGGGTTGGTAGATGGTGTCAGGGAGCAGAATGGTCCCCCTGTTATCTAGGAGGAGGCAGTCAGAGAACTGCTGAGCTGCTTGGATGTTTATAAATCTATGGGCCCAGATGGGATCCATCCCCGGGTGATGAGGGAGATGACAGATGAGCTTGCAAAGCTGCTCTCCCTCATGTACCAACAGTCCTGGCTCACTGGTGAAGTTCAAGATGACTGGAATCTGGCCAGTGTGATGCCCATTCACAAAACGTGTGGGAAGGAGGATCCTGGTAATTACAGGCCAGTTAGCCTGACCTTAGTACCCAGTAATGGAACAGTTTATATTGAGTGTCACCACGCAGCACTTACAGGATGGTCAGGGTATCAGACCCAGCCAGCATGGGTTTGTGAGGGGTAGGTCATGTTTGAACAAAGTGGTCTCCTTTTATGACCAGGTGTCCCACCTGGTGGATGCAGGAAAGGCTATGGATGTTGTCTATTTGGACTTCAGCAAGGCCTTTGACACTGTCTCCCACAGCATACTTCTGGAAAAGCTGACAGCTCATGACTTGGACAGGAGCACTCTTTGCTGGGTTAAGAACTGGTTGGATGGCCAGTCCCAGAGTGGTGGTGAACAGTACTGCATCCAGCTGGCAGCCAGTCACCAGTGGTGTCCCTCAGGGGTCTGTGCTGGGGCCAGTTCTGTTTAATATTTTTATTGATGACATGAATGAGGGTATTGCGTCTACCATTAGTAAATTTGCGGATGACATTAAGCTACGATAATGTGTCGATCTGTTGGAAGGTAGGAGGGCTCTGCAAAGAGACCTGGAACAGTTGGACAGATGGGCAGAGTCCAATAAGATGATGTTTAATAAGTCCAAGTGCCGAGTCCTGCATTTTGGCCACAATAAACCCCTGCAATGTAGGCTGGGGACAGTGTGGCTGGACAGTGCCCAGGCAGAAAGGGACCTGGGGGTACTGGTCAACAGCCAGCTGAACATGAGCCCGCAGTGTGCCCTGGTGGCCAAGAAGGCCAACGGCATCCTGGTCTGTATCGGGAATAGTGTGGCCAGGAGGAGCAGGGAGGTCATTCTTCCCCTGTACTTGGCACTGGTGAGGCCTCACCTTGAGTACTGTGTCCAGTTCTGGGCCCCTCAGTTTAGCAAGGACGTTGAGATGCTTGAGCACGTCCAGACGAGGGCAACGAGGCTGGTGAGGGGCTTGGAACACAAACCCTATGAAGAATGACTGAGGAAGCTGGGATTGTTTAGCCTGGAAAAAAGGAGACTCAGAGGTGACTTTATCACTCTCTACAACTTCCTGAAAGGTGATTGTAGTCAGGTGAGGGTTGATCTCTTTCTCCAGGCAGCAACTGACAGAATGAGAGGACACAGTCTTAAGCTGTGCCAAGGGAAATATAGGTTAGATATTAGGAAAAAGTTTTTTACGGAAAACGTGATAAAGTACTGGAATGGTCTGCCCGGGGAGGTGGTGGAGTCACCATCCCTGGATGTGTTTAAAAAAAGACTGGATGCGGCACTCAGTGCCATGGTCTAGTTAAGGTGTTAAGGCATGGGTTCGACCTGATGATCTTTAAGGTCTCTTCCACCCTAGTGATTCTGTGTGATTCTAGGCAACAGTATGGCTAAAGTGATGTGGGAGAAATCTCAATGCGACCTGTGAAAGGATATAAATTTTTATAGTGTGTTTTTTTTTAAGATAACCTCTGGTCCCTGACTGAGAAGACACTTCTTCTGTGTACAGCTCCTTCCAGTACTGACTGCTCAAATTCTCTACCTGCTCCTCAGAAACAGAGTACTTGCCTGGATGAACCAATTCATCAGTCCTGTTTCTTAGAATATATACTTTGTTTCAGGGCACATTGGACTCATTCGAAATAGCATGTCTCATTTGCCTAGAGGAATTAACAAAGATTGAAACGTTGTAGGTTCTGGTTAATATTAATGTTATATCTGCCTATAGCACCTAGTGTTTTTAATATGAATAGTTCCTCTGCATAAATATAGCATTGAGAGCCTTGATTAATATGGTGTGATGTGTTTGGATGTTGCATCCAAAGTAGACTATTTTTCTGAGCTACCATTGCATTGAAGGTTCTAGACTGTTGTCATGGTTTGACACGGGAAAAGAATTTTCTTGGAAGGAAGAGGTCAATCCAGTCAGGGGTCAGGTTTGGATACTGACATTTGGGGTGACCAATTGAAGGTGGACACGCCTCTGAGAACATAGAGGGGTTAAAAGCGGAATTCCCAGGAGAATTCGCTCTCTCTGGTTCCGGTCATCGAAAGGTACAGACCTCCCCTGCCCAGCCCGGGCTGGGTGGGGGAGGGGAGCCATGTGGCCTGGAGAGGTAGGCCAGGGGGTGAAGGATCGGGAACCGAGCTGGGCCAGCTCCTGCGGACGGAAGGGTGGAGAACATCTGAGATGTCTTTGTTCCCCCCCCCCCCCCCCGCCTCCAACCTAGAGGGAAAAGAGATAGAGAGCCAGCAGACACCTGGAAGTTTGCTGGCAGAGGAGAAGGAGGAGGGGGGGGGGGGGAAAGATGCCCAGCGTGGGAGATGGGAGACAGAGTCCTGGGCCGAGATTGCAGCTGTCCGGGGAGTCCGGGAATTTTAACCCTTTCCTGTGAAATGAAGGCTTTATGAAATATTACTCCTCCTCAATTTGAAGGAAAGAGAGACAGCCTGGGATCTCAGATATTAGGGAAAGAAGGTTGGAGGGAGATGATGGAGTTGCTTTTGGCTGGACTCTTTTTGTTGCCCATAGACTGAACCACTCCTTCTTCCAAGAGGGACTGCATTTTAGGGGGATGCACTGGTGAGCCAAGAAACTCCTTCAGCGACTACGAGTTCAGGAATGAACAGAGAGAGCTGAGGAGGGTGTGAGGATGCCCTCCATCTTCAGAGAAGAAGAGAAGGAGATCTCTGTCCTTGGACCCTTGGCCCCAGGGGAAAATGGGGGGGACTCTAGTCCTGAAATGCGACACTGGACTGACTGTTGTTCCTGTTGGTCCTTGGCAAAGCATCCTTAAAGGGGCCCTATAAGCAGTCTCTGTCCATGCACGGTGGTGAGAGCACTGTGACATGGAGAGGAGAGTGTCACACTGACCGGTGTGTCTGGGCAGTGCCACGTGTGACATGGAAACACAAGAGGTGGCAGCTGTGTTTCCTGGGGGTCTGTGGTGCAAGGGGGACTCCTCTCTTCCCCGATGGACTCAATATTGATTATATTGAAGGGTGAAGACTTAAATAAGGATCCAACTAGGTCTCGCTGTGGTTTGTTGGAGTTGGGTGGTGGGAGGAGGAATGTTTTGGAAGGTTTTAATTTTGAATTTTTTGTGGGGTTTTTTTTTCTTTTTCTTTCTTTTTCTTTTATATTAGTAGTAGTAGTAGTGTAATAAAGTTTTTCCTTTGTTACTAAGTTTGGCCTGCTTTGCTCTGTTCTCAGTCGCATTTCACAGCATTCAATTGATAGGTTGCATTTTCATGGGGTGCTGGCATTGTGCCAGCGTCAAACCATGACAACTGTGGACAAGCATTTTTACAGCCATCAGGTGGCCATGATGATATGGTGATAAAGTGCAGTGATACTCATTCTTCACTAGAGCTGACACTGCTAATAGAATAAATGCAGTGGCATAGATGCAGAAGAACTAGTAGCAGTTCCAAAAGTATTAATGG